AAGACTTGAGAAATTCAAAGAACTTCCTAGTTTTTTTTTCCCCTCTCAGGAAAAGGAAGCGAATAAATGAGAAATAAATCGAAACAAAGAAATCGGTCTGGGAGAGATAATTGCATCAATGAAGCAGGCTACAAAACTTTGTTGCTATTCAATATGAAAAAAGAACACGTTTAGTACTAAAAGGTGTTTTATAAATTATATATATTCATTTCTTTAATATAGGCACGTGGTTAGAACTTTAGCATTCTGGGTATGAGATCCGAGTTCGAATCTCACAATGGTAGATTTGTCAGGAAAGAGACTTCCTGATGTTATCGGGCTGAAGGTGTCGATCCCAGCGTGCGACACCTTTGAAAATGTGCTTAAAAAAACATACCACAGGTTGACCCAAGCCTTGAGAGTGAAACTGTACAGACGGAACCTTTGGTTGATGTCGATAGCTGTGCTAGCACGAAGTCATAAGTCATCGTGCCCGAGGGCTTGAGCAAGCTGGCCTTGTTCAAATTGTTGATCACGCTAGATAACACGCTCTTTCCCAGAAACTGTAACTAATGTCTGCTCATCATAGTTGCAGTATAAGCCACAGGTGGGTGCTGTGGCTGTTGAATAAACACAAATGCGCCTGAGCAAGCGTCTGCAATAGGGATTGGCTAGCCGTCCTAGTAAACGGGTATTCTCAAATACGAGTGGCCAGCTATACAATACAATATATTAATTTCATTATGAAATCGACACATATACTGTGTTTCAGTCTGCTGCTATACAGTGTTTACTCATTCCTCCACGAGAATGAGATGTGACACAAGGTCGGATTAATGTGGGGACCCGAACGCGTACACTCGGGCAGGGACAAAAATACCCCTCAGCTCCCTCTGGCCTCTGCTGCTATACCGACAGCTACTAGCAAACAATTTGATTTGAGGTATATTGCAACATAATCTCATTCACTATCTAAAATAGAATTTATTAAACACTGTATATACTCGCGTATCATTCGACTTTTGGGGACCTAATTTTTTAAGTTAATTTGACTACAGTAAATGGATATATAGTTTGGTCAACAGCGGAGCCAGAGCCCAAAGTACATACCCTAATTTCTATATCTCGTGTATTATGCGCCCCCCTTAAAATTAGCTTCAAAATTAGGTCTTCAAAAGTCGCATGATACCCGGTAATTAAAGTTTCTATTGGACATAAAGTGGGGGACCGATTTTCTATTGTCGTAAAATAATAAACTGATCCCCCAAGAATTACTACATATTATAATTGGAAGCATAATGTACATACTCGTGTAACGGGCGATGTTTATTTTAAATACAG